CTGCATGTTTATTGAAGCCACAGATGAAACTATGGCCTTGTGAGTAGCTGATTTCTGTTTGGCCTACAAAAGGTCAGGACTCTGGAGTGGGTATTGTTTGTCAGGCACTGCAGTTGTACACAGGAACACACAACTTTAATGAGGATGGCAGCTCAGCAAGAGGCTGGGGATGTGCCTCATGGGATTCCTTTCTTTTGGAATCCCTTTCTTCCAGTGTCTTTCATCCTGCCCCACAAACAGGGATGTAGGTTTGCAAGTCAAAGGAGAATAATTTTGTACTTCAATGGTGCTGGCTTGTGTGAAATGGAACTCACAGCATGGGGTCATGCTTTGCATTGAGCTGGTTAGGATTATTTAGAATTCCGTGTCTTTTTATTTTTTATCACGCCTGAAAAGAATGGATGACCTAAAATGGTGCTTTATTTTGCACTGCTGTGGATAGGCTGCCAAACATGAGGGACAGTTAGAGTTTCTAACAGTTTTGTTGTCAAACTTTTTTTTAACTACGTTAAAAGTTATTTTAACTTTTCAGTTACTTAATCAGTAAGATATGTGATTCAGAACTTACTTGTATATTCTGTTGTAATTGGGTTTTACCTGTTACCAAGGTCCTTCCAGTGATAACTGCTGATACATTTTTAAGGAGGAAAAAGGGAAGAAATAATTTGTGCTCTTTGAAGGAGCTTTTTATCTACCTTGCTATTATTTGCTTTTGATCTAATTCCCTCTGTGTAATGATTGTGTAAAACTTACATTATTTCATAATGTTTAGTACCTAATTTTAGCTGGCATTTAGCCCTTACCACTGACTTCACATAATACCCCTGCACATTTAATGCACTTCCATATAAAATTCTTACCAAGGTGTTAATCCTGGTTTTGTTGTCAAACTTTTTTTTAACTACGTTAAAAGTTATTTTAACTTTTCAGTTACTTAATCAGTAAGATACGTGATTCAGAACTTACTTGCATATTCTGTTCCAATTGGGTTTTACCTGTTACCACGGTCCTTCCAGTGATAACTGCTGATACATTTTTAAGGAGGAAAAAGGGAAGAAATAATTTGTGCTCTTTGAAGGAGCTTTTTATCTACCTTGCTATTATTTGCTTTTGATCTAATTCTCTCTGTGTAATGATTGTGTAAAACTTACATTATTTCATAATGTTTAGTACCTAATTTTAGCTGGCATTTAGCCCTTACCACTGACTTCACATAATACCCCTGCACATTTAATGCACTTCCATATAAAATTCTTACCAAGGTGTTAATCCTGTATTACAAAAGCCCTTTCTCAGTAGAAGGTGTTTTGCACTAACCATAAATGCTGTACTCAGAGTGACTGAACTCACAGCAGCAAGGTACAGGGCCTGTGATGTTCTTCAGAATCCTGATGCATTTACCAGATCTGCTCAGATTTAATTACTTGAAAGGTGTGATCTGTAAAAGCATTTGTGCATGCAATTTTTTTCATACTACCCCAACAGTAGTTTCTAATCATACTGTTTAGCAAGTACAACTGAACAGAAGTGTATAATTTTTTTTATGGTAAGCTCCATCCAATTTAATTTACTCTGATTTTTTAAATATAATCTCTAAGTTGGAAAGAACTTGGTATGTGTTGTGCATTTCTTGATGCTAAAGACTTTCAGCAGCAAAAGCTATTGCTTCTGTCTTTTGGGTGAGAAAAAAAATCTGAGAAAATAGGCTGAGCTGTGCTATATCCTCAGTCTTTTGAATTCTTGCATGTTGAATCATGAAAGGCAGATCATGAAAGAGCACTGCCTTAGTGCTCTTTTAGAATTAGGGTAATTTGAATAGGCCTAATTTTTTCTGTCTCAGTCAGAAAAGACAATAGTTTGTGTTAATATAATGAAGTTAATGAAATAAATTGCATTAGTTTGTAGTGCTTCTGCTGTGGTCTTTGATATGGTTTCAAAACCAGAGACTTCATTTCAAGGCTACTTTTAGCTTTTTCTATACTGCCATGGTGCTTTAGCACACATCCACTCCATTGCTGTGCAGAGCACCAGCACTAACAGTGAGCCCGTGTTGGAGTCTCCAGCTACATCTGGAGTTCAGTTATGCAAAAATAGTTGAGAATACAGGAGCTATTTATTTGAGAGCTGAAGAGAAAACTAACAGTTCTCTCATATGGACGCGGCTTGGCAGGGTCTCATTACCGGTGTGAGGACAGTGTAACCTTGTTTCTGCAGCTCGGTGTTACCCCAGAAAACCTCACGGCTCCTGGGGGTCAGAAGTGCCCTTGTGCTTGGTTACAGAAAGCAGAGGGGTGAGGGTGGCTGTGGCAGGTACAGCTATGGCCCCAGCTGCACCAGGGGACTGCTGCACTTTGTCATTCCTGTCCTGCCTCCTGCTCCGTGGGGATCAGACCGGGCTGCTCTGGGCTTTACTCAGGCACAGCCTGGGAACTGCTGGGGCTGGAGGCTGCACGAGCTCCCTGGGCACACTGCTCCACAGCCCTGCTGGCCTCAAAGGTGAAAAGGTTTACTGGACAGCACATCTGAACCCCTGCTGCTGCAGCAGGTGCCTGTTGTGTTTCACTGTCCCACCACACTCTGCTGCTGCCAGGTCTCTCCAAAGCTATTTCTTCTCCAGGTTCTACAAGAGCCATTCTCTCAGCTGTGCCTCCCAGGGCAGGTGTTCCAGGCCTGCCCATCTTGGTGTCCCTCTGCTGAATTTGCCCCTATTCCTTAGCTGCTTCATAGACTGTAAAATTTATTTTTGCCCTGTTCTACATTTTTAGCATCCCACAGACACACGCACATCTCTGTAATTTCCTTTGGAGGCTTCACCTTGGTCTGTGGGATTCAACATCCCACTATCTTCACCGTAAGTGTTCTGCTAAACTGGCTTTTGAAAAAACATTTACTATTTACTGAGTCCTCTGTAATACAGTGGAGTTGTTTGGTTGCACTGTTGGTCTTCTGTGACATCGTTTTGGCTGAAATTTGGATTAACTGAAACATGGAAAGGGTGTTTTATATCACTAAAGCCACAGAGACAGTTTTGGGAACTGCAGACTAAAGTCCTCGAGTTCAGACTAGTGCTGTTTAATCTGCAGTGCCCAAACAATTCCTCTGAGACCTCTTATGGTGGTAAAGATGCTGCTTTTCATGTCTAAACAGGTTTGTTTTGTTTTTCCCTGCGGACCATAAATTGCAGCCTGATGAAAGGATGCAGAAAGTTATTTTCTAGCAAAGGGGACATCCTTAAAGTTGGATATCCATTTAGGGAGAGTGGAAGGAAAAGTGGCTGTGCACATCCATCAACATCCCAGGCAGGTGTGAAGTTGCCCCTATACCGTTAAAGTATTGTTCTCAGCTGAATGAAAAACCTCCCTGCCTGGCATTTGTCCTATAACAAGATCTGAGGCCTGCTTGGTTCCACTGCCTTGTGTGATGGTGGCTCCTGTCCTCATCCGAGCGAGGGGCCTGGGTCCCAGGGAAGCTCCCACTGCACAAACTCTTTGCTCTCAGCTTTTGCTGCATGGGGTGGGATTGGGACAGGTGTTGCCTGGGAGTGAGCTGTCCTCAGCTCTGTCCCCCTGATCTGGGATTTGCTGGAAAACCTCTTCAGGGAGCTGTGCTCTCCTTTGAACAGCTCTGTGGGTGCTCCTCTGAAAGTCTAGAACATGACTTCCCTGGGCTGGGGTATGTGTGAGCTGAAGTCAGGCAATGTGCAAAGTGAATTTTGGCTCATTCTGGGGAGGGGAAACACGACTGTAGGTATATCTTACTGCCAAGCATTACATTGTGTACTTTTCTTGTCTGCCTTTTATGTGACAGCACACTTCCAGGCAAAGGAGGCAGCAGGAATAGTGCAGCAGTTGGATCTGATCTTTAGCTGTACAGGCACAGGAATGTACAGCTTCATCCCAATGCTTTTATAGTCAATCTTTCACTCTAAAGATAAGTACCTAGCCAACCCCCATTACTGCTTGCTGCTTAGAACAAAGGTTTGGACATTAAAGAGCTATTTGAATTTCTGAGATTTATTGCAGAAGAGAGGGCACAGCTGGAGAGCAGTTTTAGTGGGGAAATGCCAGGGTTGCGAAGGGGCTTTTTTGGATAAGGCCAAGTGAAAAAGCTGTGCTTGTGTCAAATTCCTGTGGCAGTGGATGGCAGCACCTCAGGACAGTTAAAGGAGTTAGAGACACTGCCATGGCTTATTTATTCCTGTTCTGTTGTTTGGCTCCATGGTGGTTGTTTTGCAACTTGCTTGGGCCTGTTTAGTTTTGTGTTATTTTTTTATCTCCTTGCAATGAACTTTTTGAATCAATCTGTCTTTTACCACCGAGCCTGACACTAAATGCTGAAACAGTTAAAGATGACCTTCCTTGCTATCAGCTGTGCTCTGTGTGCTCAATGCATATGTGAATTGACTTAAAAGCTTTCAGCATGCTACATGATATGAAAAATAATTATCTGCACTGCTGTTGCTCACAGTTGAATTTTTCTGCCAGTTTTGCAGTGAATGCCCCAAAGGTGGATGTGCTTATGCAGTTCTGCTTGCTGGCTTTTGTGCCAGCTGTGGGTGAAGTGTGGATCTCTGGACACCTTGGGCTGTGCTCTCTTGAACAGTGCATTTGGAGCTGCATTCTTGCCCATGTGTTCAGGCAGTGCCTGTGGAGCTTGAAACCTGCTCCCAAGATGCTCTTGCAGCATCCAACTGGACATGTCAGTGGCCTTGCTAAGAGCTGAAGGGGTTAATCTCTTTGAAGGTCAAAGATGCACATTTCAATGGCAAAAGCTTACCCAGGGTGTTCAGTTAAGGAAAACTGTACCACACTGAGTGTATTGGTGTCTGCTGTGTGACTGTCTGGTCACTTGGGTAGAGGTTGCAGGAGAGAGCTCTTCCTATTCTTCTTGAATCTTTCTTTGTTCTCACCATATCTGCCTGTGGGTTTTTTTATTAGCTGGTGAAAGAAATTATGGCTCTGGGTTGCCATTAGCACTAAGATCAGAGTAAGGATTTCATGATGGCTCTTGGGTAGGAACCTCAGAAAGCACTGAGAAGTTGTATTTCCAAAAACTCCTAACACTTGCATTTGGGAATAGGCTTTCATGGATTATTGGGAAGGCAGAAAAAGTGGTTGGCTTTTGTTAGTTTTGTTTCCTTCTTATTAAGTTGTATGGCATCATCCTTTGAAAGTTTTAAGGAATAACAAGTTAATGAGGACTTAGTAAGGGTAAGTTAATCCTAGAAGGTTGGGGACTGTAAAAACCAGAAATTGTGACCAAATGGAATGCACTCTTTGCCTAAATGTCCTGATTTGGGAGTGTCTGTCCTGGCAGGAATCAGCAGGTACAGGAATCTAACATTTCATGTGTTTGTAGCTTCTTTGATGTCAACTGAAGAATTGTTGGTGGTCTTAAACTGACACTTAATTGTTTCTCTGAGGGTTGTACAAAATAATCAAAAAACAGATATTGTTTGCTGTTCCTGAGAGCTTTTGTTTGTTTCAGTAATAGATTAGACACATTACAAGATTTAACAATTTCATTTAATTGAACTATTTACTCTTTCCTTCAGTAAAAGGATGTTTCTGAAAACAGGACCTAGTACAGTACTAGTACAGAGTACTTGTGCCAAAATAGTTTCTCTGTTATATACTTAAAATTGAAAATGTTAATCTTAACTGCCTTTATAATTTACATAGAATTTTTATTCTTTAATAAGAACACATCTTGTAAACTCATTAATGTTCAAAAAGGGTTTTGCTAGAGTTCCCAACTTTCTATGATGTTCTTATTAACATTTTATTCCTTAAAATTCTTTAATTATATGTGATTTTTGCTGTAAAATGTGATTATGATGCACTCTAGGCTATAGAAAAGCAGAAGCCTTGCAGTTGGTAGCAGTACTGCTCTTGTTTATGATCTTCTGCAAAAAGTGAATTACACCAGATAAGCCAAGGCTCTCATGTAGAGAGGCACAGGATCTGTGGATCTGTGGCATCTTTTGTATAATCCATTCCATGATAGATTCTCCCAACTACAAAACAGAAACATCAATCTTCCATTTCCACAAGCTGTGTCTTCTCTGCCCAACAGATGTTTTGGGTTTTTTTTCTGGAAAGGATTTACTCCTAGCCCTTTATTGTTCTGTAAACAGTTTACCTGAACTCTTAAGAAGTAAATTGAGTGCTGTTGTAATGAATGCCTCTCTGTTCAATTCCCGAGAAATAGCCTGGGTTTCACCCAGATAAACTTGTCTTGTATGTAATTTTTCTGAATAGCCTGAAGATGCAAAAACTCTGCAACTGTTAAACAACTCAGTGAAAAATGATAATGCTCACATTACAGAGATGGAACAAAAATCACTTTGTGCTAGTCAAGAATACCCAGAGGCTTTTCTGTGTGCTGAGTTTTGTTACCCAATGCTCACATTACAGATGACTTCCCACACTGCGATCAGTAAGTGCTCCAAAAAGGGTATTCTTGGGTTTTAGGTGTCCAGGTAATGAGCAGAGTTTGAGCAGCAAACTGAAGGATAAGAATACCTGAGCCCTGGCCAGCCAGAGATTGGCTTTAGTTAATGTGGCTCTGCAAAGCCTGCAGAGTGTGGTGGGAAGGAGGCTGTATTCCAAGCAGCAGGGAAGAAGCTGGGCTCCTGACTGCTGGCAGCTCCCTCACAAAGGTGTAAGCAAGGCCCTCCTAAGACTGTGAAGACAGCAGGAAGGTGATTGTCATCCGATTTATGTAGAGCAGGGAAGTGGGCAGGGCATTCTGCAGGGGGGCTTTGAGCTGTGAAAGGACAGATACTAAGGAGCTTTAATGAGAATGGTGTTCTGGTGATTGTGCATCAGGCCCATGAGACACAGCTTGCACAAATTGATAAATCTTTTCCATGTGCAAATCTAAAGGATGCAGCTTTAAGTATTTCCAATGAACTTGGGAGACTGAAGCACAACAACAGTTATTTAGCTGTGCAAAGTAAATCTACAAAGATTTTCATAAGAACTTGATAGACACTTGAAGGGTGCTGTCTGGGCATTATCAATGTCATCAACGATCTAATTCTTGCTTTCACATTTTCAGGTTTTATTCCAAAGTCAAAAGAAAATGATATCTAATATTTATGTTGTTAGCAGGTGTGCACTATTGACTCTTTTATGTCACTATTGACATTTTAGACTTGTGTTCAAACATGATATTAGATTTTTAAAAATTCCTTCAGTATCAAGCTAGCTTTTGTTTAATGCTTTGAATATTATTCTGAAACAGCCTTCCCTGAATGGAGGCACCGGATTTGATGCTGCAGAACAGATACAGATAACAACAGCAAGATAATGAACAAATTTTAATTACACTTGGTATTTTACTCCTTAGCAGTCTGGTGCTCTGCAGGAACAAATGGTCAAATTGGCAGCAGCACGGTGTGCCCACAGCAGACTTCAGACAGAAAACCATTCACAAGAGTCATTACAGAATGCTGATGGCCTTTCCCATAGAAAAAGAAAGCTTGCAATGGTTTCTGCACCTGCAAGGAGTTTCCTAGCAACACCACTGAGGAAACTGTATGCCAGGATTTTCTTTTCAGAGTTCTTTTTGTTGAATATAGCAGCAGTTGTAAAACAAAGGTCAAGAGCAACTTAAGCTCTTCAAAGCAATGTTGTGTATTACATTTACTCAGAGAAAGGTTTGTGTTGTAGTTCTCTGCCTAGAAGATAAATATTGGGTTACAGTGTCATCCAATAGACAACGGTGGTTTAGTTAAACGTGAACATAGCTTAATCTAAAATGTCACTTTTTACTTGGGGGAAAATTCCTGTTAGTGTTTAACTGCAGGTTATGCTTGTGAAGGAACCAGCAGTCCCTGCTGCCTTCTGCCTGCCTGGCAGCTGGGCACAGCCAGGAGCTTTCTGAGCAGCACAGAACATCAGCTGGTCGTGGGAGCAGACCATTAGTCTGACTAAAAAGAAGAAAGGGGGGAATTTGGTTTTTTGTTTTGTCTGAGGAGGTGTATGCAGTCACTGTCTCAGTGTGTGCACGGACCTCAGGTGAGTCCCTGCTTCATGCCTTGTCATCAGCCACTTCAGGACAAATGCTTATTTCAGCTACAGCACGCACAGGTACCGTGTCAGAAGTACTTACTGGGCTTGTCCTCACTGCCTTTGCCACCTTGGCAAGGGGAGAGGCAGAGTTTGTGTTTTATGGATGGGGGAGTTGAGGTGAAGGACTAAGACCCTTTTCAGCCCTCTGGGCTGGGGGTGCAGTTACTGGGGAAGATTGGCCACACTCTTGGCCCCTCCAAACTTCTGCTTTTGCCATGCAGAATAAGAATAATGGTTTTGTCTCTTACCAGGACAAATAGTGAGGTAGCCTAAGAAAATGCAGGCAGCTGTAATAAGAGTTTTTGATCTCTACCCAGTATACTAAATAATCTTTAGTTCTAGAACCCAGTCTAAAAGTGGCATTTTACCAATTGTATTCAATTTTATGTGCAAGACAAGGGACAAAGCCTATTACTTGTATTTTTTTTTCCTTGTGTTTTGACTTGGTGAAGACATTTTGTATTTAGATCATTGTATGTTGACCTTTTCCCCATTAGGTACTTGGAGAAATACAGGTTCTGCATGGTTTAACGTGTAAGCAGTCTTCTAAAAAATCAGCAGTCATCAGAAATAATCCTCTCTCTCAGCTCCCTGTTTATTAATCTAAATTATGGCTCTGGCTGGAATTTTATACCAAACAAACTAATATGCTTAAGGCAACCTTGTGTTTCCTTCATTACAAAGGCTCCTGACGAGTGCTAGCACCACCTCCCTCCTCTCAGAAATATTTCTGAGTAATTTGCCAAAGAAAATTAGCTGAGGATAAGGGAAATTTTTCAGTGGAAATCTTTCACAGCTAATAGAAAAAATGAAACCCTATTCCATTCAAATAATTTTCTTTTCTTTTAGGTGATGTGACCCCTGCTGTCATGAATCCTCTCTCGCAGCCACGCTCTGTTCCTTTGGCAGAAGAAATATGCTGGACCATATCAGACATGAATGCACATCATGTGGTGGTCACTCAGGAAACTTTAATGGAGCAGTTAGTGAAAAATTATCCAGGTAACTTTTTTGTTTCTCCCTCCTTTAAAATGTGGCTGTGTCATCAAGCCCGAGTTTCTGATATTGGACAAGGGATCAGGGAATGCTTACAGGCAAAGCTGGCAAGGTGAAGGAGTACAGTCAACAGGCAACTGGTAGAACACATGAATGTGCATACTTCTCATCAATCTGAGTGTCACTACATTGACTTGAATGCAATCCTTTCCACAGATTTTAATAAATCTTTGAGAACTAGACTGTAGTTAAGAGTATGCCCTTTCTAGAGGGTGGGAAAGCACAGAAGTGGTATTTAGGTGCTAGACATGGAACAGCATAAAACAGACTGTTAGATCACAAAGACTCTAAGTCCTGACAGGAACACAGCTGACTTTGACTTCAAAGGGACTGGGTAGGAGTCTACATCTGGTGTTTGCTATCAAAAACTATAACCAGCCTCAAACTCAGGTTTGTTGGTCATATTCTAGTCCTTTCCTTCCTGAAAGGAAATTACTTACACTAAGTGATCTTTAGTTCTTCACTTCTAGCCCAGTTGGTTGGAACATGGTGCAAATAATGCCAAGGTTGTATGTTTGGTTCCCATATGGACCACTCACTTAAGAGTTGGACTTGATGATCCTTGCGGTCCCTTCCAACTCAGAATATTCTGTGATTCTGAGGGTGTGGCAGCCACTTCCCTTAAATATTTTCTATATGTCTGAAAATTATCCCATCTCCCTTAGATCTGCAATATCAAAATGTTATTGTGTTTGAGGCTTTGAACAAGTTCATTCTGGCCCTCTCAGGAGGCTGCTTTGTTTGATGCTGAGCTGCTTCTTGAGTCCTCTTAACCTTACAGCTCTGTGAATGTTAGAGGCTGATCTGGTAGGCATTTAAACCAGTAGGAAAAATATTAAGGCAACGCCAGAAACTGGCACAGAATCATGGCAGGAATGTGTTGCAGTCAATAAGTGCCCTGAGATAACTACAGAATTTGTAGGCCAGCCAGAAGTAGCATTCTCAAAGTTTGTAGGGTCTGAAGGTATTTCTTGCTGTGTTTTCACATTGCTGGAAGTTCTTAATTTGGTGGGCAGGAGGTCAGCTGTGACACCTGATGGAAAACTGCAGCTGAGACCAGTCTCAGTGAGGTAATAAACTGACATCTGACCAAACTACACCAGAAACTTCAGAGAGTGATGAAAGCCCTTGTTAAATAACATGCCAGGAGGGAAATGCTTTGAGCAAGAGGTTGTTTGGTTTGTACCTGGCAGAAAGTCTCTCTCATGAATATCATATTCTGCAGACACAAAGACAACATCCTTGCTCCCTCACAGTGGTGCTGCAGTGGCAACACAGCTGGCCTTTACCTAAAAGCTTTGGGTATTTCCTTTTCAGATTATTTCAGGGCTGTTGTATCAGAGAGATCTTTTGGCCAGCACCCATTTTATTTGAAAACTGTTTTCTGATTTGAAGTATTTGTCTCTTTGTTCTAGGCATTGCAGTGCCCTCCCACAATGTTTTATATAATATCCTTGGCACTCTAATTAAAGAAAGAAAAATCTATCATACAGGAGAAGGATATTTCATTGTGACTCCCAACACTTACTTTATCACAAATGATGCCACAGAACACAAGAAAAGGATCCTGTTGGAGGACAGTTGTTGCTGTTCATCACCTTCCATCACTTACCTGGTAAACATTAAGCCCTGCACAGACCTAATGAAAGAAAGCATTCCTTCAGTACCCTGTTACAGATCCTGCCATTGCTTCCCTGACCAAAACATGCTCTGTGAACAAAGGCATCAGCAGGTGATGAGCCATGGATCTAATGGAGAGGGAAAGAGAGGCTGCAGCGAATTGAAGTCTTCAATTCGAACTCAAGGCATCTCCACATCTGCTGAGAACCATTCCTGGGACACCATCAAATCCCTGACATCTGTGAAAGCAAAACTGAAAAGCAAAATGTTTGGCCTTGGCCTTTTCTGGAGAAGTGGTTCTAAAAAAGAAAAACACAAGAAAGAGTACTCCACTTTTTCAGGCCAGTTTCCTCCCCAGGAGTGGCCAGTCAGGGATGAAGATGACTTAGACAACATTCCACGTGACATTGAACATGAAATCATCAAGCGTATTAACCCTACTCTCACAGTTGATAATTTGATTAAACACACAATATTAATGCAGAAGTTTGAGGAGAAGAAAAAAAGTATCAGTAAAGAGAAAAAATACATCAGTAATAGTACCTCAGCTGAAGTGCCAACACTCAGGCAAAACCATCTTTCAAAGGATTGTATTCAAAGGGCACCCAGTAAAACAGTAAAACACACCAGGAAAACCAAATCAAAGAAGAAAAAGCAGATTAGCAGGAGCAGCAGGAAATCTCACATACAGAAGCTAACATCCCAAAACGTGAAACTGGAAGGGAGCTTTTCACTGCCCATCAAAAACCCAGAGCCACCTGATGCAGCAGTGGAATCCCACGTGATATACAAGAAGCAGATTAAGAACCCTTTCCAGGGTCTGCCATGGAGACCTCGCAGCTTTCATGCCAGAGGGCACCAAGGTGGTGGCAACAGTCAGCTGAAGTGCCAGACTGAAAAGGGAGGAAGGGCTTTCCAAAGGCCACCATCCTCAGCCTCCTCAGGACCCTTTGGCTGGGAAACTGAAAGGCTGCATGCAGAAAGTGAGGCTGACAAAGCTAAGCAAAACAACCTACTCCATGCTAAGAGGTCTGACCTTCAACTAAAGAAAGACAGTTTCAGTGAAAAGAGTAGTTGCCCACAAGGAAGTAATCTGCAAATAGATAACAGAAGTAGACACTTCCTGGAGAGTAATATTTCTGAAGAAAATGTCTATAAAAGAACAGTAAAAAAAAAATCCCCTTGCTCCTACATTGAAGATAATGGTGTGTGCAAAGAGGAGGCAAAATTTCCATTCTACCTGAAAGATGAGCATTGCAGATGCAAAGCAGACGCTGTAAGTGAGCTGTTAGATCGAAGAGCCAGTGAGTTTCAAAATGTCCATCTTTCAAATTATATGGCCAGTGTTAATCTGGCCCCAAAAAGTGGTGTGAAACACAGACCAAAGACTGATAAAAAGAGTGAACTTCTGTTAAACTATGACTGTGCCAGCCATCCTGGATCAATGGAGCTGCAAAGGGAAGGGTTTACTGACAACTCCCATCTTCTGTACCAAAAGGGACACAATGGTGACACCTGCACCTCGTCACATCTGGATGAGAATTCTGAACACCTGTCCCCTGGCCATGCCTTTTCAGACACACGAGAGTGGAGTACAGCTGTGTCCCTAAAAGCCTCTGAGGTTAGTACCTGCCCTGCCCAGCACGACACAACCACAAATAAATGTGATGTAAGGTGTAAGGGAAGTGCTGGCCTTGAAGAATCACCAGATGGCTCAAAGGAGCATCCAAAACCAGACTGCACAGAGGAAAGCTGGCTGTGCAGTCAGGTTCTTCTGCAAGGCCACAGAAAGGCTGAAGAACCTGGCCTCACTGAATGTGGGAAGGGCTCAGCTGATTTCTGCCAGGCTGACTCTGGCACTTTGCAGAACTTCATCCGTGAGGAGGGCGAAGGAGCAGCACGCTGTGCTTTGGGCTCATGGATCACAGAAGTGAGAACCCCTCCAGGACAAAAAGAGCAGCTTGTAAAGAATACATGTCCTGTGACCCCAGAACAGAACCACTCAGAAGGGACAGAAAACCACAGCATTACAGGAGACAGTGGAATTGACTCCCCAAGGTAAGAAAACACGTGACACTGAGTTAGATGCTGTATGTCCAAACTGACCATCAGATTTAGGCAGAAATGTTGCAGTAAATCACAAACTCCTTCCCCAACAACATCTGTAAAATGTTTTACATTTGTAAAAAAAAAAAAGTAAAAATACATTTGTAAAAAAAAGAAATTCTGTTTTTTTTAGACTTCAGTGTCATGATCCAGAAATACCCAAACTGTATAGTTCTGCTAAGTCCTTTAACATGAACATTCTCCCTAAATTGCTGCTGCATTTTGCATTTGTTTTCATGAGGCAAGAAAACAGCACAAGTTCTGTCCTGCAGGTAGAGATGACCAAGGACAGAAATGTTAAGAAACATGGTGTTTGATAAATTCATTGTTAAGCACTGTGTTTGACAAGCTGCAGTTTGCAGGCAGATTCAGCTCACATGGATCTCCCCAAATGACACTGGATATTGTCATGGATTCTCCAGCTGTGCATAAAGAATAGAGATCCAGTAAAATTTAAAGTAGAAAATACCATTTGACTTGCTCACAACAGAATGTGTACATCACCTGAACTTTCACAGTGTAAGTTTTGCCTGTAGTTACACCTGAAAATCCCTTAATGGAAAATAATTGGTATGAAACAAACTTTTACACAGTTGTACATGGAGACCTCCAAAACTTAAGTAAATTGGCAAGAATCTATGTTAAAAATCACATCCTTCTTTCTTTTTTTACAGCAACACGTATTCTTAATATCTTAAATGAGTGGTATTTAACTGTAATTAAACCATTGGAGTCCTCATTAGAGTTGTACTGCCACCTTGAGAAGCCAGTATATGAAGGAACAAACCACAGACTGCAGTTTCTAAGGGAATCCTGCTCACTGTTAACCTTTCCCTTGAGCAGTTCCTGGCTGTGCACCCTTCAAGCACATTTCCTGTGTATTACTTGGACATGAAGACTTGAAATCTTTAGCAAAATGTATTTCAGAGCATCATTTTGATTTTTGGTACATATGCCCATCTGTGGCACTAAAAGCTAAGCCAACTCAGTACATTTTTGGAATGTGGAGTCTGACTTCTGATAATTATATTATTTTAGGTGGACTGAAAAGAAGATGAAGCTTCCTGCCAAATTCTAAAAGTATAAATAACAATGCAAAAAGGAGGACAAGTGAAAGAACAATTTCAACAAAATTCCTTCCTTCATCTCACTCTGGTTGTGAATATTTGATTATTTTTTAAATGAGATTGGTAAACTTTCCCCTTGTTAACAAGGTAACCATGCTGTAAATGGAGCTGGTCACATCAGTGAGGCAGTCTCTAAATCAAAGCTGTTAGTTAAAACTTTTGACAGTAGTGTTTGGAGAGGTCATGTGTGTTTTGCTTGCCCTCATCTTTAATTATTTTTTGTGTGTCCCTGTGATAATAAAGGTGAGAACTGGCATTCTTCATTCAGCCCACAGCAGCGACCTGGAGGGGGTTTGTGTTTCTCAGTAGGAACTGCAGCTGGACAGGGCTGTTTCACACTCTGACTCTGGAAAGTGTTTCCTGCTTGTGCACAGAAATCAGCACACGCTTCACCTTCCCTGCTAGAAAACAAAACAAATGAACTAGACACGCACCTGCTTACTACCAAATTCCTTCAATCCCAAGGTTCTCTGGGAACTCTGCCGTGTGCTGCAGTGCTCTCAGCTATCCTCAGTCTACCTGGTGTGTCTGTATCTGCAGAGCAGGGTTTAGTCTGCCAAGGAAGACGTGCTGGTGGCAGGAGAGCCGGGTAAGGCCGGTGCCACTGCTGTGGGACAGGCCCTGCTCTGCTCCTGACCTTCCCATTCCGCAAGGAATCCACATCCTGCCAGCTCTCGGGATTGCTTCACACGTTTTACTTCCTAAGGCTAATTTTGACTTCTTCCTCTCGATTTATCCCTGTAGCTACAAGCAGATTGTGCTGGGTTCGTGCTGTGTATTGCCACAGGCTTGTGGATTTTAAATCTTAGTCATTTGGTCACACTGCCCTTTCCTACTTCAGACTTTTCACTACTACTGAACACTTCTCTGCGGTAGTAACAGAGACTAAAGTTGCCAGCTTGTAAAGCTACTGGAGGTTTGTTCTGGGCAAGGCAGGGCCCTGGCAGGGCCGGCGGGACGAGCCGAGCCCTCATGGCGGATCCGTCATGGCGGCCGCCCCCTCCCAGCGTGCGGCGCGCGCGGAGGGCGCCGGGACTTGCAGTCCTCGCGTTGTCCCCCGAGGCACGCCGGGAGTTGTGGTCCCACGCCGACGGCCGCAGGCGATTGGCTGCTGGACTGCGTGGCCCCGCCCCCGCCCTGCCGGATCCGCCGTCCATTGGCTGCCGGGCTCCTGGGCCGCTCGGAGCGTGACGCGCGGCGAGCGCGCGGCTGGTGCGGAGCGCGGCGTGGCGGAGCGGCGGCGGCGAGCGGAGATGCCCGAGGCCACCCGGTGCAGCAGCAGCAGCAGCGGGGCCGAGTCGGGCTCCGACTGCTCCATGGACACCGAGGGGGTCCCGGAGAGCGGCCGCCGGCGGCACAAGGTACCAGGGAAGGGCTCCGGGTACGGCCTGGCCGCGCCCGCCCGCTGAGGCCGGCGCCCGGCGAGTCCGGCCTCGGATGGCGG